AAGCATATTTACTTTGGAAGCCATGAGTGATTCAAAGATCTTGTGAATATGAAAATTTGTATAATAGCACCAGGAATGCTATTTGATCCATTTGGGTGATGGAAATGGTTTTGTTCATGGTAATAAAAAAAAGTTATTAATAGTGTCCATGATGAAATAGATTCATATAAATACTTATGAATTGATATAAAAGTCTTAAAAGTAGACTATAGAAGCATGATTATATTTGAAATCTACTTATTGATATAAACTCTTATATTGAGTTAAAATATAAAAGTTTTAGAACTTTTATAGAAATATTAAGATATTTTTTAGTTATCTTTTACTAAAGGTAGATTATGAGGCCTCATACTTAAAAAAAAAAAAAAGAATCACCAAGTAGTGAAAAGATAAATGAAATGGTAACTTGATTAAGTATATATAATATCTTAAACAATTGAATGAGACATTCTTTAATAAAAGAATGCATACTTGCACATGGTGGGGGTGATAAGAATCAAAAGAAATAAAAATTACCACCATAATGTTGTAAGATTTTAGGATAATTTTATGAGCAAATTATACAAGTTAATAAGTTTAGACACTTATTAAAGTAAAATCATAAAAAAAGGTCTTTAAAAATCTTAAAAATACTAAAATGGTTTAATTTATTCATTAAGTTTATCTAATTGTACTATAAGTATAATTGTATTAAAAATGTGTAAAAGTATGAAAATAGAATGGTTGAAATTAATGAATATAGATTTGTGGCCACAACTAAAGCCAATTATTTCTTAAAATGATAAGAATAAACCAACAATATTTGGAGCATATAAATGATATGTAAAATGAAAAGTTTGGACATATTAGTCTATGAAGTAAATATATTGGAGATTCAATCTCAAGTGACGGTAATTACTATTAAAGAAAATTAAATTCCAAGATATGTGGTTAGTAGTATTATAAATAAAATGGATTTAAATACTTGCTATTAGACACCAATAATGGAAACCTAACTTTAAACTAGTAACCTTTAATTATAAAGTTTAATGGGTAAAAATAAGTTATTATTATGTGTCTATTAAGTACTAGTAAAATCCATTCAAATGTTAGAAACTAGTATAATCTATTGCATGGAGAGTATGAGTTTTTATACTCTTAATATAGTTTTAAATGTCTAAAGCAATTGAGACATAATAGAAACTTTATTTACATAAATATAAAAGTGGTGCTGCTTTAACACGAAGAATTGGTGTTTTTTTTGTAAATGTTTATAAATAAAATAAGCACATGGGCATAATAGTGCTAAAGTGGTTATAAACCTCTAACAGAATAATAAATAAGTATTATATGTGTTATATCTTCAATTATAACACTAGGAGCTGAGGTTTAATCTATGGACACATCAACTTCGTTAGAATTATAAGATGTATATGCTAATTTAATATTTAAATCGAGAGATACATTTTTGTATTCATAATATTTATTTGTGTGAAATGTTAAAGATTAAGCACCAACATTCCAAACTAGTGGATGATTGTTTATAGTTTAGAATATGATACATCTCACATTAAATAAAATATTTATTTATTGATGAATAAAATTAATTTTTGTAAATATTCATATTTTAAATAGTTATATTTGAATATAAATAATTATCATATGATAAATGGTCATAACTATTTGAATATAAATAAATTATTATTCATAAAAGTCATGAATATATAAAAAGTCATAATCATCTGAATAAAAGTTTATGTCCGTTCATTCATTATAAATAAATATTTCAATATAACCATTTTCACTACTTCTGATTAAAGAGTTTGAAGCTTTATTATATCCTAAAGATATAATTATCTTTAAAAAAATATTTTTTACATCTCAAAGCTAAAATTCTTTTATATTATTTCTCTTCTCTTATTTATTTTTTCTAACACCATATTGATTATGTACCCACATTTTTACAGCCATAAGTTAGAAATTTAGAATTAGACTTCCACAATATTTCTCTTTTACAGGATATTTACTTTAGTTTTATCTGAATTTTTATTTTTTTACAAAGTAGTCGTATTCGATACATATTTGATAAACATTAATATGAATGTTCGATCCTTCAAAAAATAAAAAGAAACGTATTCATATAATGCACATTTTTATATTATGCTAACTTTTGAATCCTCTAACATAGGATATTATTTGTTTCACTAATTGATTCCTTTATTTTAAACATTTTAAGCCATCTTTCTTCCAACTTTCACACAATAAGTAAAATTATTCATTTGCTACCCTATTTGAGTTTATTTAAAATTTTTTTTTAATGAAAAAGGTAACATAAGATAAAAGAATGTATTGTAAATATTGATATTTAAATTTTAAATTTATTAAATATTATCTCTTAAAAATAATTACATACATAAATCAATTAAATTAAACTTCAATTTCAAAACAATTTTATTTTCCTAGATTAGTCGTTGTATGTGGATACGTTCAAATCAAGAGAAAATGTCAGAAATATTAATTCATCCATCTACCATTGAATTCTGTGTACCAAATTTCTGTCAACGTCGGTTCAAATACGGATTAAAACCAAAGCCTTTTTATCAATGGCTTGGACAAATGGGATACGGAAGCTAAACATAAAGGAGTAGTTATCACATCAAAGATGGACCCAAGAAAAAACCGTCCATTTTCTAAATTCATTCCCTTTATTGACCGACTGTGATGACCAACCTGTTTTTATTGAATTTGAGACAGTGATATGGCCAACCAAGCTTATGGTTTGCCCCATAATTTCATAGTAATTCATAATAATAAAGTCCAAAATTTTCTCAATTATTGATTTATTGTTTTTAATCAAAATTAAAGAGGGTTGCAAATAGTGACAATTTAATCAATATAAAACGATATTATTTCTTAATTAATATGTCATTAAAATTAATATTTAAAAGTTACGAATTTTAAAAAATTTATATTCATAATTTATTTTTCAGTCAAATAAGTAACAAATTAAGAGAAGTTTAAAAATAAATTAGAAATTAAAAAAAAAAGACACCCCTTAATATTGGTTTTTTCCTAAATTTATTTTACATAAAAACTTTATATAATTGGATCAAAAGGCAAAACCCAAGATGGTAGTATATTTGGTTATCTGCGTCGGGGTGGCAAGCAAAGATAATAAATTTTGTTTGGTCGGTTTGATATAGGAATTGTTCTTTTGTCAACTTTACACATATTTATTTATATGAAATTCAACCAATGAGATATGTGTAAAACAATTATATACACATAATTGAGAATTTTACTTGTTACTTGCCAACCTGCAATTCTTTTTAATGTAATGGAAAGCTGATTTGGCTTTTCAAACTCTTACACATTAGTATTTGTATTGAAAAATTAAAATTTAATGTTAGAAATTATTATTAGCGATAAATTGAGATTAACTTAATTGATTTATATAGTTATTATTAAAATGTGAAATTTAATAAATTAAAAATTTAAATTTGAATACTTATTATTTCTTATCCAATCCTCTTATAATTTCTTTTATAAAAAAAACTAGATTATAATCTAAACAATGCACAAAATAATTTTATTTATTTAATATGAAAAAATATATATTTATATACAAATTAGTTTCTTTTTAAATTATATTCAAATCTTTAAAAGTCATAATATATATAAAATTTATATATATTGACTTATCATTAAAAAAATAAACTTTTTGAAAACAATAAGAAAACAAATTGTAATAGTAATAAAATATATATTGAAAAAAAGTTATTGAAAAAAATTTATGTATAATACGCTACATTTATAGTCTCAAATTTGTAGAAAATTTTTTTTGTGGTAATTAGGATTAAATAGATAATTTTTAAATTAATTTTTTAAAATTTAAAATGGATATAATAAGTGATAAAGATAATTTTAAATTTTTTTGCATTTATTTAAAATTATAAATTTAATAATTAAAGTTTAAATAGATATAATGGTTTTGATAATCTTATTATTTAAAAATTTAAAATCTTACATAAATTTGTTTGAAATTTTAATGTTTTACGTAAATTTTTTTAAAAAATAATTTTTTAAATAAAGATAAAAAAGATTATTAAAAGATTTGGATAAATTTATTTTTTATAAATTTTAAACATATTTGAAAGATTTTGATATTTAAATAATTTTTTAAATAAAGTTATTTAGTAAACAACTAAAATTATTTATTTAAAAAATAAAATATATATTTTTTATTTTAAAAAATATATCTCTAAATTGATTTGATTTTCAATTATAATTTAAACAATTTTGATATTTGAATAAATTTATAATTATTTAATTTATAATTAAAAGAAATTATCTTATTTTTAAAAAAAGCTATCCTATGTTTTATTTAAAAAAGTTATCCATATAAACGTTTATATGATAAATTTATGTATGTATATTATTATATAATATATATTAGATTTGCAACCATAAATGAAGCACCTTAAAAGCTACCAAAGAAATAATACCCTTTAATGTTTTTTTCATTGACATTTCAATTTCAAATTGCATTGCCATTGCCATAAAAATACATACATTTTTTAGCAAATTTTCAAGCAATACTCAAAAGTAAAGAGCACCCTTTTTCCATAAAAAAAATATTATTATAGCGAGACAGATTCATGGAGCACCAAATGATGGGACCGCACCAAAGTAGCCGACTTTGACTATACACTATTAGAAGATTCTCCCATGGTTTGTTCAGATGAAGCATATTTATGTTTAAAAATTCTTAAATATCATCATATCATTGTCATCTTTAGGTAACACAATCTTCAAAAAATTCACCATGAATAAGTTACCAGTTACAACCACTTTTGATATTCAAAAAATGCCATTTTTACAATTAAAGTAACCTTGAATTGATATCTTTCATTGTTTCAAATACGTGAATCGGGCTTAATATCCAGGCAACAATTGTTGATTTGTGTTTAACTTTGTAAGAAAGATATGCAAAGCTAGAACCTCAAGCTGATGACCCCGCTGTTATGGCAGAATGGGACTTCAATTTAGTTTTACAGTTTGGTGTTTTTCTGTCGCATGGTCAAGCTTGTGTTGAATATGACTGACCAAAAAGGAAATGGCAAAGGACAAGAAGAGTTCGTATTGAACTCTGATCATTAAAACTAAAAATTCAATACTCTATTATCAGATCACAAGATTGTTATTTACAAAAGGTGTTTGAATCCCACAAGACAACTGATTACTTAGCTTTCAGACCAAAAGGAAATTGTTAAAAGAGTTTTGGCGGTTTCTTTCTGTAAGTGGAAACATGTCAACAATTTCAATTTAAAATCGATTGATCTAACCGAAAGATATATTTTTGAATTTTCAACAGAGCTGTATTAGCCATCCCAAGGCATATGAGTGGCCAATCAGTAGGGCCAATGACACGTGATCACCTCATCATGTGTATTGGCCAATACCAAGTGGCATTTGTCAGTTTATAACCTTACTTTAAACATCGTCTTTGTCAGCAGATTAACATAGATATCTAACAATCCACCATTGATTCAAAGTTATTAAAGTTTCAAAAAATCATATACTGTTTCTGTAGTATCGTCAAACTCGATCCATGAAAAGATGGCAACTGAAGCAGAGATCATTCCTGAACACATTTCTTTAGTGGTATAGCTCTTTCCTCTATTACTTGCTTTGCTTTGTGTTGATTCTTCATTTAACTGACTCAAAATTTGAAGTGCATACTCTGAATACTGAAATACATACTAAGCAAATCTTACCACAAAGTACGCATGAAAAAAACCACAGGAAGTTTAGCAAGATCGCATGTCCGTCAAGAAGGGATACTACAATTTCAGAACAGAAAAATCGGGTCATCTTTAAATATAACTTTTTCAACTTTTTGGTGTTCTTGAAACACTTAAAACTGGATGATCTCTGAGCTTTTATGTTTTTCTTTTATGATGAATCATATACCTCCTTTTTAATCAACGTAAAGACCAAAAATGGAGGTGATCTGGTCTTTCCTTGTATAAAACTAGTTTTTTTTTTTAGCGGCAAAGGGTTCTTAGACTTCACCAAATACATTGAGTCGGTCCAAAATTTATGAGAAATTACCTTTCCAAAACCTCTCAACGGATTCAAATTCAAGACAGTCAAGAGAGGAGCAAACTCTCTTGCACTTAAGCCAACATCCGTTAATAAACTAGTTGGTTTTCAAAATAAAGATTATCTTACTATATTATTTTGATCCATAAGGAATAAATCCTCTGAAGTGATCCACTAGATTCAAGACAAGAGTTGTTTGTGCTTACTGAAACTTGTGTCACCTTGATGACAGCCAAGATTTAGCTTTTAACTGTCAACAGATTAAACCAGAATCATCATCAGTTCCAGAAAAAGTTTTAGGAAAATAGCCAATTATAGCTAAGATATAGAGCATAGTTTCATCTATAATTTTTTGGCTTTGCTTCAACCTTACTGCATTTTGTAGCTACCATAACTCAGTCTTGATTTTCTGATTTCTTTAACATATTTGAAGCCATTATCAGAAGTCTCAATTCTGAAACCAATATGCTGCATAAGTTAGCAATATTTCTATATTAGGAAAATAGTACTTTCTTTTCTGCATAGTTCAGCAGTTTTCTCGAAAGTAATAATTGTTCAGACTGGAAATGGAAAAAGAACAGAAACGGATAAGTTACTGTATTCAATTTTGTTACCAAAGAAGCCTATTCTGAATATGTAAATAACAAAAGCTTTATTCTTCATGCAGAAACCAGAGGAAGAGAGCAAACACTTGACCTTGGAGCTGTGTGACAAAGTTGTCAAGTTTCTACCAGGAGACTTGAACAAATTCCAAGGTGAATTAACCCGGCCTGCTGAAACCGGTGAATGTTTGGCTAAAGCGGAAAACATGCCAGTAGCCAGTAATAATGGGGTTGAAACCATGCATACAGTCTCTGAAGGCAATCAAGAAATCTCTAAGGGTGAAAGTTTTTTAATATCACCTGAGATTTCCAAGGTTGCCAATGAGACCCGTGGAATGTTGGAGCATACTGAGGTTGATGACACTCCATTTAAGGCAGAGAAGACACTGGAGGATGAAGAAAAGATGGTGAATGATAAAAAGTTTCAGCTTGAGGAAGAGGCGGGAACTGGGGAAAATGAAGTGAAGGAAGCAACAGAAGACGGAATGGAAAAGGGTGGCACAGATCATGGCATTGAAGAGTTGAACCTTGATATTGGGGGAGAGAAAAGAATGGAGGTTGAGGTAATTGTTGACCAAGATTCTTCACTGGAAGAGAAAGGTGAAAGCATTGAAGAAGAAACAAGTCACTCACAAGAAAGTGAACATAAAGGGACAATGACTGATGAAAATGCTGATAATATTGAGTCTGATGAACAAGTTCTTGGCATACAACAGGCCAATTTAGAGCTTAAGAAACAAGCTTTAATTCATACTCCTGATCCAACAATTGAAAGCTTGAAGGAGGCTAATGAAACAGTCACTGAGGCAAGTAACTCCAATCTTCAAGAGGAACTGGAAGAGAAAAGCTTTAAAGAAGTCAAAGATACCGAATCAGAGAAGCTGCCTGCACTAGTGGGAAAGGAAGAGGGCACTGAAGTTGCAATATTGGGAAGAGAGAAAGATCAAATAACTTCTGATAGCATTGGAGACACCTTAACCTCAACATTAGCAGAAAGTTCAGAGATCAAGGACCATGAAACAACCTCAGAAATCAGTGAGGTTGCCAAGAAGGAGCCGTGCAATCCTTATGAGGAGGTAGCTTGTGGTCATGAATCCACACCAAAAGTGGATGACAAGCTTGAAGAGGTTTCCAGTATCATAATCAAGCAAGAGGGGATACAAAAGGAGTTAGAAGATTGCACTGCAGAGAAACCTGAACTGGAGGCCATGGAGAACATCTCAAAACAAGAAGAAACTAAAGAGGTTTAATTTTAGAGCGTGAATACCAACTGAATTTCAAGATTTTTTTTTTTTTAAATTTTAAACTCTTTTTCTAGAAAAGAAAGGGAAAACAAAGGAGAGATCATCATTGTAATTGTTAATCAAGTATACCTCATTCTCCATGCAGCTTTGTGAAGGTCCCAAGTCAATCATAAAGGAAGAATGTGCTATTATAGATGAGACAATGAAATCAACTGAAGAAATGCATAGGAGCTTCCAAGAAGAAGTAAAAAATGAGACACCACAAGTAGAGGTGAGGTCCAGATAATTTTAAAATTTTACTGAGCCTTGTTTGCGAGGTTGAGTTGAAAGTTGAAACCTCCATGTTTGACCAATCTTTCAACAAAATTTTCATCCAGGTACCTGAAAAGTTGGAAATAAATACAGTTGAGGATGCTGAAAAGCAAATTCTAGAAGAGGAAGACACCAACAAGCACCAGACTACCCTACTGGCCGAGACAATTGAAGAGAAACCGAAAGAAGAGAATACCAGTCCAATGATGTCCATAAAAAAGGTAAGGGACTGTATGACACTAATCTTAGAACTTCTCACTTATTCTATACTTCTGAACATTCACTTCCATCAACAGACATGGCATAAACAATCATTACTCTTACACACACATGCACACAATGCGAACCAGCAAGACCAGAAAGTGATAACGACAAATGTGCTTTGTACTCCATCAAAAGGGCTGCGCATTTAGCATATCTTTGCTTTATTCTACTTCTTCAATTCAAAACTTACATTTACATAGGTTGTTAAATATTTCAAGCCACTGATGAAGTTTGAAGCATTGAAACACAGAAAAAAGAGGATGACAGTAAAGCTGAGAGCAACTTTGAAGTTTCTACATCAGCAACAGATAAAGAGGAATCTTTGGAGAAAGAAAATGAGAAAAGAGAACCAGAAAAAGAGGTCAGTTATATGTGGAATGTATAATTTTGTTACTTGGTATTTCATATTGGACCATTTCTCAAAGATGCTAAAATAAAACAGGTATACTTCCTCTAAATTAAGGCATCCAAACAACCATGAGGAAAATACACTAACAGATTTTTTTTTCAACAAAATCTCAACAAAAAGGGAAAAAGGAACTAAGATCTTTCCCATTTTAACGCTAAAGAAAGTGGTCTTTTCCCCCTTTATTTACCTTGCATTTGAGAAGGGGTGGGTGAAGCATCTATCAGTTCTGGCTGGCTGTTCTGAGTTCAAGTACATGAAATCTTTAGGAAACTCCAATCATGTATTCTGATTATATATGTTATCTTCATTCATCTAGTTGTCGCATATTTTAAAAATTAACAGAACATAGCATTCATTTACTTCTATCAATATATTAATAACCAGATCATCCACTCAATTCTTTCCTCAGTTCCTGTAATGTAAAAGTAACAGAACCAAAGTAAGAAGCAGAAAAGGAATTCATTATCACAGAGGTTTTATGAGGTAACTGATGCAGGCCATAACATCACTAGGCCGGGAAACCTCAAATATCACAATAAAAGATGGAGATCTCCAAGAATGATAGATTCAATTCATGAAACTTACAGCACAAAGATTGACCCTTGGCCTGTTGTGATTTGTTCTTGCTTATAATCTAATATTTTACCTTCTAGCACTTTGTCATGGTTAAGTTGAAATTTTGTTTGCCATTTCAGTTGTGTAAAGAATCAGAAACAGCAGCTTCAGGTACAGGAAAAGAAAATCCAGAAATGGAGGAACATCCTATAGCTGACATCTCCAACTCATCAATGAGTAGCGAAACTGTGAAGGAAAGTATAAAGGATGGTCAAAGCAGCCCAATGAAGTTAATAGAAGAGGTGAGCTGATAAATCAAAGCTGATTTAGGTTCAACAATGTTTTTTCTTTTTGACCATTATTAGTTGCCAACATACAATTCAACTGTTTTGCAGGCTAGCAACTCAAACATTAAGGAAACAGCCCTCCAGAACTTAGAGGAAACAGCAGAGCCAAATAATGATCCTAGTGTGCTTGATATTGAGAATGAGTCAAAAGAAGAAATAACAGCAACAGAACCCAAAGAAGACCTTGTCCGTAGATTTTCATCTGAGCTTGAGGAGTCCAAAAAGGACACTGAAGAAGAAACCTCAGTAAAAGGAATTATCAACACTGCTGATTTGGACTCTGAATCACCTGAAGCAGAAACAAAAGAAACAAACAAAAAGGAAGCTGAAGCAGAAGAGAAAAAGAAGGAAAGAAATAATGTTCTTGCTGCTGAAGAGAACTGCATGGTAACAACTGAACATGAAGGGATCGGTATTGACGGTGCTGACGTTGATGTCAAACCAGTGGACCCCTCCACATCATTCGAGAAGGAGAAGGAGATTCCCCAGGTAGATGGAATGCAGGATAAAGTTCCAAACGCTGGAAGTGAAGATCAAATGGAGATGACCACTAGGGAGATTCCCTTAAATGAAATATTAGGAGATGAAGTGAAGGAATATTCTACCATGCCTTCAGAAGAACATAAGCTCACACCCACAGTTGAGAGGAAAATAATTGATGAAACTTCAGAAAAAGATCAGACTCCAGATGAGCACTCAGAATCTCCTGTGTTACAAGCAACAGATGAGATATTAATGGTAAAGGAGGATAATCCCACATTAGATGTTCCTAAAGCAGAGTCTGAAGATACCGGAAAGGAGGGTAGGCATGAAGTCAAGGAACACTTGGCTAAGGAACCATATGTGCATACAGAACAGGAGTCCGGAAAAAGCCACTCTATATCAGGGGTCACTAATGTCTCAAATGGGGAAGAACCTAGAGAACTAGAGAATGAAAGTGATGCATGCAAAGAAAAAACACTGCAAGATAAACAATCATCAGATACAGGATTGGAAAGAAAGAAAGTTGAAGATGGAAAGCCATTGCATGAAGCCACAGATGTGGGAAAAACCTCAGGAACATGCCATGATAGTGACAAGGCTAACCGAGAAGAAGAGAATTTAGCTAATAACTTGGCAAAACCAGAAAGCTTGGAGGGAGATACTGAAGTAGAAAAAGAAGAAACAGAACTGCCAGGGGGAGCTCATGACCAGATTCCTGAAGTAATTAATGTGAATGATAATGCAAAGGTTAGAGCGACATTACTCTTTTTACTCCTCCCTTTGGTACTGAAAGAAACCAAATCAAATTAAAGACATGCAAACAAATATCATTTCAATTTCGATTATTTTCATTTTGCAATCATGTCAGAGATTGCATCTAATAAGCAACCAAATCATATGCTATTAAAATGTTTCTCTTCATTTAAGTAGCATACTTCCCGAGTCCTCTACTAATTTATCAATTTGTAATAGAATGTTGAACCAGTGGTTGAAGACCAAAGTAAGGAAACAATCCCTCAACCCAGCAAGAGCCAAGATGATGAAACCAGCACAGATGTTCAGAATCAAGAAACTGAAAAACAGATATTAGAGGAACTGGAAGACAAACGGGACAATGAACACTATGTTAACAGAGAGCAAAATGCAAATGAGGTTACCAAGGCTGTCCTCTTGTCTGAAGAGGTAAAGAACACGTATAAATGTTTTTCTCTTCATGATTATTTAAGGAGGTGTCCTGTTATATTGACAAAATGTTTATTTAGCAGGTCAACAAGGAAGTTGAGAAAGCTGATGATAGTGAAGACATCAAACAACATGTCATTGATGAAGAAAGTAGCACAAATGAACTTCATCTGGAATCAAAAGGAGATGATACAACTAATGAGGTTATCTCAGTAATTCATCGTAAATATTCATTCAGATAGGGTCTTTAGATGTTGCTCATTTTTTTTTTCAACTTTTAAACATTTTAATTATCTTATGATAGGTGGAAGAGTACGCTTCAGTCTCAACTGTATGTCTCAAGGAAGTAGACTCCAACAGACAGATAGAAAAAAGCAAATCAGAGGTCGAAGAACATTTGACCAAGGACAGAGAGGCATCCGTTGTCATAAAAGAATCAGAAGAAATGAGACAGGATGAAGAGTCTGGAGACCGTGTAAGCATGCAAGGTGAAGAGAAAGAATCAGAAGAAAAAATTGATGACATTGTCGATGGATCAAAACTTTGTCAAGACAAGAGTGATATTGAAGCTGTGACAAAAGTAAGAGCGGAGACAAGCTTAAACAACACTGAGGTGGATAAGAAGCTTGTAAGTACATCGAATATTAGCTCAGAAACTACTGAGAGTGATGCTAACCTAGAGACTAAAGAACTGAAACTTGAAGAAATATCCTCTGACTTGGCACCTTCAGTCCCCACTAATGACAATGATGAAGTGGAAAGGCAAAGTCTAAATGTGGATATTGTAGACAAGGATGAAGCTGAAGTAATCAAGAAAGATCCTGATGCAGTTTATTTGTCCGAGGATCAGATTGATGAAGCTGAGAAAAGCCTAACAGTGGAAAAGGTGGACCAACTCTCAAACAATGATCTTGAGCTTGTAGAGACAAAGAGTGAAGCCTCCAAAACTTCAAATGCGGATGAACTGGGGAAAATTGAATTAACTTCAGATGGAGGTCATTTTTCTGAAGACAATGGCTTTGAACAAGATGCAGAAACCAAGAAAAGCCTAACAGCGGAAGAACTGGAAGCAAATGAAGTTGAAGAAAGCAAAGGTGAACCAGAAACATCATCCAATTACTTACCTCAAAAAGTTGAAACCATTTTGGAAGAAGATGCTATTAGTTCCCATAATACTCTCACAGAAGAGAAACTAGAGGAGCAACTTCAAACTTCTACATCAACATTGCCTTCTGAGGATGAAGAGATCAAACTCCAAACTCAACTACAAAGATAGAAGAAGAGATACAGAAGGATGCTGGAACTGTAAAACATGAGAGTCTAGAAGATTCTTCTGACACAAAGACAAAAGAAGAGGTATGCTTGCAAAAGGAAGAACAAAGAAAGCCTCAGGCTGTCTCAGGTGAAGAAACTGTTGTTAATCAGGGTCTTCAAAAAGAGGAACCAGAGAAGCAAGTTCAGACTACATCTTCTACATTTCCATCTCAGGAAATGGAGAATGCAGCTGGAGCCATAAGTGATGAGATAGATGTTGTTACTGGAGATGGAATAACTGGTGAGCATACTCTCTCAGCCAATAAACCAGAGGAGGGGACCACAAGCTTTGCATCACTTTCCAAGGAACAGGAGGAAGAAACCGTAAGCACGGTTGAGAAGATAGACAAAAAGAAAATAAATGAAGCAGAAATTCCGGGAAACAAGATTTCAGAAGATTCTTCTGATGCAAAGAAAACGGCAGAGATGTGCATGGAGAAAGAAGAGTTTCAGGGGCTTGAAGATGCTACGAATGATGAAACTGCTGCTCAAACTATCCAAGTGGAAGAACCAAAGGAGCAATCTTTAACTTCAGCAATGCCTTCTGAGAACATAGAACATGGAACTACAGCCAATGAGGAAGAAGAAGAAAAAGTGAAGGGAGTGGAAATGCTCGTAAAAGAAATAAACTTAGAAAAGGAAAAACCTGAGGAGCCTGAAGCTGTTGTGGATCAAGAAACTACTGTTGGTCAGGCTTCAATAACAGAAGAATCAGTGAAGATTGAAACAATAGGCACAATTGAGAAGTTAGATGAAGATAATGAGATGAAAGAAGCAGAAAATCTTGAAGATAAGATTTGTGAAGATTCATCATCTAGCTTGCAAAAAGAAGAGCCAAATGAGCTTCATACAGTTCCAAAAGAAAGAATTACTTCTGGTCAGACTTTCTCAGAAGAGCAACCAGATGAGCAGCTTCATATTTCAACCTCTGCTATAACTAGTGAAGAACAGGAGCATGAAACTAAGAAGACAGAAGATAAGGAAACAAACCATGAGGCAACCGTAAAAGACGGGATTTCAGAAGATGCTTCAGATGCAAGGACCACGGAGGAGACATGCTCACAAAAGGAAAGGTCTATCGAGCTTGCTGTAGAAGATGCAATGACTGCTGGTCACACTGTCACTGAAAAGAAATCAGAAGAACAAGCTCAGAATCCAACCTCTACACTGCCTTCAAAGGAAGTGGAAGGTGGAAATACAAGTACAACTGAGAAGATAGAAAGCAAGAAAATAGAGGAAGCAGAATTTTTACAAGATGATATCGGGGGAGATGTAAGCTTGCAAAAGGAACGATTTCAGGAGGATGAAGCACTTGCAAAAGATGAAAATGCCTCTTCTCAGACTCTCCTAATAGAGGAGCAAATTTCAAACCTTGTTGCCACATTGCCATTAGAGGAGCATAAGCATGAAACTGTCAACGAAGTTGACAAGACTGAAGAAGAGAAAGTAAAGGAAAAAGAAATGCAACATGAAGACTCCGATGTAGCAAAGAAAGTTGTAGAGATATGCTCTGAAAAGTATGAGACAAGGGGGGCACAAGCTGCTTTGGAAGGTGAAACTATTGCTAGTCAAGTAATAACACAGGAATCAGAAGAAAAGAAACCAGAAGAGGCAGAAACGCTGAAAGATGACAAAAGCCTGCAAACAGAATGTGTAAGTCAAGGTGCCTTAGAAGATGGAGCTACTGCTGCTCATACTCTCTCAGGAGAGAATCAACCAGATCAACTTCATAGTACAATCTCTACATTGCCTTCTGAGGAACAAAAAGATGAAACAAAGGAAACAGAATTGCTACAAGATGAGAGTCCAGAGAAGATTACAAAACAAACAAGAGAGATTGAGGAAGCCTCAAATGTCAAAATGGAGACACCTGAAAAGGCTATTGACAATGAATTACTCACTGAATCAGAAGATGCTGCAAGAGATGAGACAGCGGGTGAAGAAAATCAGTGTGAGAAAACAAATGAAGGAAATGAAGTCATACTGACTGAAGTTTCAAAAGAAGAGGTAAGCAAGACTAGCCCAAAACCTTTAATAATTACCTGTATTTCCTTATTCGTTTTCATTTCTATTATTCTTTTGCTTTTAAAATTTATCATCCTGACAACTAATAACTGAGGGGGCAAAAATGACAGGTCATTGAGGACAAGGAAGTTATTGAAACATCTTATTCAACTTCCCACTCAGGCAAGCTGACGAAAGATGGCTCTGCAGAAGATGAGCCAAGGGATAAACTGATTGAAGACTTGACAAATGAGGCATTAGAAACCACATGTCAAAATGAAGAGGTCAGGAAACAGAAACTCAACTTTATTCATCTTATTCTTTTCTTGCTTTTCTATATCTATTTTGAAGCATTAATCCCTTAACAGCTCCTTGTGGAAGCTCAAAAGTCCACTGAAAACGATACCATTGAAAAGCAGATTGTTTGTGAAAATAAAACTGTTGAGGATCCAGGCCAAGCTTCGGTTTCCGGGATTGAAGCCAAAACAGTGACAGAAGAGGTCAGACTACATTTAATCCTCCTTTCAAACTTTGCAAAATAAGCTTTTATGCAAATGTAACTGTAGTAGGTAGGAAATGCAACTATCTATTTTTTCTAAAGTTAAGGCAAAAAGAACTTTATTCAATGGGAGATAAAAATACATGAGAAATGCAACAGTTTTGTTGATTTCATGAATCTGTTCAAAATGACGAAAAAGATTTCAGCTCATTGAATAAAATTATGACGAGGAGAGAGAGAGAGAGAGAGTGATGTAGAATAACAGATAGAAATAATCATGCTGAGCAGCTCTATATTTCATCTTATGTCAGGCATCAAGCATAGAATTATCACTGGCAGAAGGCAATCAGATAATTGATGATATTCAGCAGCCAGGGGAAAGAACAAATATGGCATCTGATAAGCAGATTCCCAAAGAATTAGATCCCATTGAGAACACAGAGATAACAAGTTCATTCGGCAAGGAACATGCTCCAATAGATTTGCAGGAGAGAGTTGCAGAACCCTCACGAAAGGCTGAAGTTGGAGATGTCAAAGAGATTTATCCAAAACAAGCAGAAGTTGACCATGGTGGAGAGACAATAACAGATAATTCAGGTGAAGATATAACCAAGGAGTCTACGACTAAGGTATCATCATCCAACCACATTGAAAGCTCCACAAAGGAAACTCTGCAAGTGACTCAAGACACGATTGAAGAGAGAGAAGCAAAAGATGAAAATGGTGCTGCTCAAATTCTTTCAGTGGAGAAACCAGAGGAGCAATCTCCAGCTCCATCATCCAAAAAGCCTTCTGATGGAGCTTCACCTCAAGTCGAGGCAGTAGAAGAAAAGGAAGTGGAAATTCTATATAAAGATTCCTCTGATACAAAGACAGGAGAAGAGATATGCTTGGCAAAGGACGAAAACAAGAAGGTAAAAACTGTTGTTGAGCAAGAAACTATTGCTGTTAAGGCTCCACCATCAGAGGTTAGATAGAACTAATTCAAACATAGATAATTTCATGCACTCTTTATTTGTTCTCTTTTATCTTCTTGTTTTGCTGTAATAATTTATTTATGAATTCAACAACTGCTAACGGTGGGAGCAAACATGACAGATTAAGGAGGATCCAGTTTCTCCTTTTGAAGATGGCCGCAAAGAAAATGAGCTAAAAGATGAAGATACCTTGAAAGTCCAAACATACGAAATTCAAAATGAAGAGGTCAATATACAGGCATTCATCTTTGCTCCTCTTGTTCTATTAATGTTGCCTCCCTCTTTTGATATTGAATCTTAATTTACAAACAGCTCTGTGTGGAAACTTTAAAGGATGGTGCAAACGACAATATTGAGAAAGAGATCGTTGCTGAAGATGAAACTGTGAAAGAAGCAACGACTGTAAGGGAGGAGGTAAGAATACAGTCTAGTAAGAGAAATGAGACTTTATAACTAGAAGAAAAACAGATTAAGAATCCAGCTTGGATATATCACTAATTTTACATTTCACAAACAGATTCCAGGAGAAGCATATCTCATTGACAGCGGCACGACAGCAAGTTTAATTAACAAGGAACATTTTCCAACTGAACAGCAGGATAGAGCTTTAGTAACCTCAGATAAAGCTGAAGCAGGAGATATGGAACCTGGAAATGCTCAAGAGATCTGTTCAGAAGTAGTAGTTGATCATGGAGACGAGCAAAAGAAGGACAATTTGGGTGTGCAAATAACACAGGAACCTGCATCAGTGGATTCAGCTAAGCCATCATTGTCTGGCCTACACCAAAGATCCACAAGAGAAAAAATGCAAGTGTCCCAAGATATGATTGAAGAGAGGGAACTAAGAGTAAGCAAGGAAGAACCACATGTGGAAGAAGCAAAAACAGAAGAGAAAGATGGAGAGGAAGGGGATGACCACAATAAGAGGGACTCTGGTTCAGATGCTCCCGTGATGGTAGAAGCACCTAGAGATACTGACACTAAACCACATAAGAAATCTCAAAACATACTATCAGGTGTTGGATTGAAAGTCAAGCATTCAATTTCCAAGGTGAAGAAAGCAATTACTGGTAAATCTTCTCATTCAAAAGAATCAAAACCAATATCACCAAAGGGAAGCGAGAAATGAAGGTGTCTCAGTTAGTAAAGAATCACGTATTCTTAGATGTTTTACAGGGGCTTGTTTTCAGGTCAAATATTTTCTGATCATACTATTTTTTAAGCTTTGTGTGTTTATGTGCAAATTGAAAAAAGTAGCTTCAATTTTTTGTATAAAAAAACTTGCAAAGTTTCATGATTGTGAAATGTAGTATGACAAAGTTGGAGTTTTTCTGAGCATGCCATAATCATATGCATACAAAATTGTTCATTGAACAAAGACTTTCGCTATTAGTTTCTTTTGGCAGGAGTTCTAAAAACACATACCATTTCCAAACTACCAATTTTACAAGCTCAGGAATTGAACCAAACTTCACTTGGATTTAATAAAGCAAAGATCATCATTTTAGTTTCTTGCTTGCAATTGCCATTGAAACTTGCAGAACAAGAAATTGTGATTGAAAAACAAACTCCCTACATCCAAAGAATAAGGAAGTTGGCTAAATTAAATCCATCATATTGATGTAAGCCATTGCCACAAAACAAAGACTACGGCTTTGGGAATTAAACCATACTTCACTTGAACTTAGTAAAGCAAAGAACATCATTTTAGTTTCTTGCTTCAAATTGCCATTGAAAATTGCAAAACAAGAAATTGTGATAAGAAACAAACTACCTAACCAGAATTGGGATTTCATTACCTCAAAATTTCACCCTTATTTAGCATTACTCAGCATTATGATTGAATGCAACTCCACTTGGGATGCCAAATAGGTCCTTAAATCTCAAATTCACCATCTCAATCAGTCAACAGCTAAATATTAGCTCAGTATCTAAAATGAAATTCAAAAGAAAATCAATGGGAATTCAACCATGCCAAAAACTAAAATTACCCCTTTCAAATGCCTTAAAAAACAAGTACACATAAGCCTCAATAAGTTTCAGTAACAACTAAAATGGTTCCAACAGGAAACATAAAATTAAAAAACTACCCTAAAATAAACATAACAAAGATGAGATTAAGAACCCATCAAATCCATGGGAACCCACCACTTAATACCTCCTTCCGGGTCCACCACCGCGACCGAACCCGATTTGAGGAACCGGAACAGTAACCGGATCAACCTTAACAAGCCCAGGAATATCAGTCATCCCAAGAACCGAAAGCATATCAAGAGTTTCCTTATCAACTTCGATTTGATCAACCTTGATGGCCGATTCATCGGGGACGAAATCCATGCGACGCTCGCGCTCTTCTTCTTGAAGCTTCAAAGAGATGCCACGAACGGGACCCTTCTGAATCCGCTTCATCAAGTGGGTCGAGAAGCCAGCGATCTTGTTGCGGAGCCTCTTGGAAGGAATAATAGCCACTTCTTCGATGATCTTTTTATTGGTGTGGAAATCGAGAGTCATGCGGGAGTAGTACCTCTCAATTACTTGGCGAGACGATTTCTTCACTGTCTTGGTGCGGACGCGGCCCATGGCTTGGAGCGGTGAAGCGGTGGAGGCTGAGTGGTTGGCTGGGGTTTTGCAGACAGGTGAGCGAGAAATGTTAGGGTTACGGTTAGGGTTCTTTATATGGATGTGGAAATTTTGGGTTGGATCTTAGGTTTATGGTTCAGGTTTTTCATTTGGGTTTGGTTGAGCCCAATTAGGAAATTCTTGGGCTAAGCTTGGAAAAATAAAAATTATTTTGTTTTTAACATAATAACATTTTAATAATTTTAAGTGTAATTTAATTAAATTAAAATAAAGTTAAGGATGTAATCGATCGAATTTGAGTTGATACAATATTAAACTTGAACTCGAGCGTGATTCGAAATTTAAGACTTGAAATTCGATTCAACTTCGATCGAATTTTATTTTTTTAGCTCAAGTTCGATTCGAAATAGAAATCGAACCATTCGAATTCACTTGATTAAGTTTAATTAACATGTAAAAATAAACTTGATTATTATATTTGATAAAAATTTGATTATTTGTACTCAATTTCGAATTCAAGTTTAAGATATTTTATTAATTAAAATAATTAAAATATAAAAATTAAATTAAACTTGCGAGTTATTCAAGCCGAGTATAAAAATGCTCAAACTGGGCTCAATCAATAAGTCGAGTTACTCAAGTTCAAATTTAACTCGATTATAATCGAATCGAATTTCAATTTTATTCTAATCGAATTTAAATAACTTACAAATATTAATACATTATTTACACTCCTACTACTTCAAGGCAATGTGCATATTGGATTCATTATATTTTGGAATTTTGAAATTTGCGGATGGATGCTTAAAGATGGTGTAATTATATATCTAATCCTAACTATTTTATTCATAATATTCAAGTCATTTATTATTTATAGGAGATTGATTTTAGCAATTTACTAAATTATGGTGAAAATCTATATCATTCAGATTGTGATGAGTGTTATATACAAATATGTCCTTGATTAAGTATTTATAATTTTAAAATTTTTTTATATGATTAGAGAACCAGACCTTCTATTATTCATATCCGTTAGATATTTATCAAATACATGTATTTCACAAAAAATAAAAGATGCAAGCAAAATAATAAAGATTATTTTAATTATCTAACTGCATGTTTTCATGATACGCATTTGCATATATAAATAGTTAAAATTGTAATGATTTTTAACACTAAATCATATTATCTACATCCCTAAAACCATCCCCGTCTCTTTTCGAGATGAAATTAATAGATAATTAAAATTTTAATAATTTTTAACCCTAAATCACATTCTCTATAAGCCTAGAACCAACTCATCTCTTTTGGACGTGAAATTCGTGACATAATGATGATGCAATCTAAATTCTACGATGATCTAACCGTATATAGTACCTACATCAAAAGCCATGTCTGATATTTGTTTCAAATGCTGATGGCATTGAGATAACAAGACAGTATTGTTGCCCAATAGCTCCTACTCTTTGTCGTTCCTTATTCTATTGCCACTTCTTGCTTGTATAAAGGCTGAAATCATAAGATAATGATGTCTGGTTTAGCATCAGCATGAAGTAAGGCCTGTGAGTCAAAACACTAGCGATTTCATCTTAAAAGTCTCAAGTTCAAATGTTGAGAAGAACAGAGTAAGATTTATGAAATATACGAACTCTGTTTCTTATATATTAAATCGAAGTAAAATCATGCATGACTTGGCAAAATTTTAGCCAATCCCAACAATAATTGGCGATTTTCAACTTACAACCACTAGCTCTGTATATAAAAAATCAAGAAAGTTGAGCTTTTTTATGTTTCTTCTCAGATTTCTGAGCTGCTTCAATATTCCTTTTCCGCTCTTTGAGTTTTTCGACCTGTTTCTTCTTCCGTTTCTTGCCCATCTGATCAAAGAGAAACATACTAGAGTCACACCAAAGATGAAATTCCAATTATAAAATTAAGACAGCAGGGAAACTCAGGTGTTCATGACAAAAACTATGATAACAAGGCCAACAAAAGTTACCTCAATGGCTATAGCTAGCCCCCTCTTTTTACGTGACATCATAAGCCTTGACGGATCCTCGGTATCAATGGCATTTTGTTGTACATCAGGAAGAGATTCTTCCTTAGACTCCATTTCCTCAGCAGAGCTCTTATTTATAGTTGAGAAACCCTGAAGTTCCATTTTCAAATCATCATGATACTGCTTCTCAAGAAGCATCATCTGCAACCAATAAAAAAACATGGCGTGGTCAAGAAGGGCAACCATGAACATCATAGGATCTTCCCAACCAGAAGAAATACAATTTTTGAAACTCTATCATGTATTGAGGTGTCACATGTCCGTGACTCCAGTCAGATACCTGTCGCTTCTTCTCAGCAGCTTCCGTAGCCTCTGTTCTATTGATATACCCTTCTGCCAACATATTTTGAGAGTTATCCAAGCCATCATTTTCCATACCAGGCAAAGGTTGAACATCACTTTTCGCAGCAGCCTGTAGTTGTTTAATGGTCTTGGCATAATCAGGAATATAACCTTCAGCCTCATCATCAACAAAAGGTGACAGATGTGGAGGTGGATCCCTATTGGCAGGAAGACAGCAATATCAAATGCTGATGGCATTGAGATAACAAGATTATTCCATCTTCAATTGCAATTAAATGAATCATATTGATTCCATAGGGTGTGCATACTCCAAAATATATCAAAATTATCTTCCTGAACTATGATTCACATTCAATCTATGCAAATGAAGCTACCAAATTAGAAAATGAGAACTAAATGTTGTTCATTCTAACATAGCAAAAGCCATGAAGTTCAACACTCAGATATCAAACAGATATCACAAGATTAAGTTCCCAAAATTTACCTTCCAACCATATATGGCTCTGTTGGCAAGATGATCCGGGCATTTACACAGTCATAAACCCACTGAGGTTGAACATATTCTCTTGAGAGGTATACATGACCCTGGGTTGGTCTGTCGACAATCTACACAAGCAAAAACCATAACTAAAAATGGAAATCCCTAAAACCAAATTTATAGGCACCTACAAATCTCACACGTGGCCCATTTATTGGCACACCTGATGGGTAATGCTATCATCAGCTTCAGCAAACGGAGCTCCATCTCCTTCCCAAGAAACAGTACCTCCAAAAGCAGTAATGACAAAAAGTAAAGACTCTCTTGGAACCTGACCATATAGAGTATGAGGAACTATTCCAACACAATCAACTGATATAAAGAAATGGAAGCCACTTTATTGTAGTATTATTACCATGCACATCATATTGAAACAAAATTCTTTAACAAAACAAAACAGCAAACCTACACTGACTTGATACAAAATTTCAGCCAGGAACAATTAATCTCACCTCACGACTCAAGAAAATTTTCTTATTTTGAAAAAGTTTTTTGCAGTCCCTTGTAGCTTCATCTTCTTCAATTTCACTAGCTGCATTTTGAACAAGGACCATCAGTGCACCAGGTTCATTGGCAGGGAGTTGATGCTGAAGTTGAGCAAGTCTTAGGTCAGACTCCTCCTGCTCTTGCTCTGATCTAGATGAACCAGCAACTTGAGGTTCTTGTACAGAGGCTCTGTAGTTAGCATCAAAATATCTCGACAATGCATAGAGATCTGTGGTATTCAGAAACGCATATTTGTATCAAGAGAGCTAGGAGGGAAAAAATTACAAGAATTGTTCATAGTCATCACTTAAAATTGCATAGAACTCTGAAACGAATGTGTAAGTTTCATTACAAAATGTAACGCAATAAAGCAAACCTGCTGCCAGAGCTTCTAGCCGAGGATCAAGAATAGGAGGATACCTCACATTTATAGAATGATAAAGTTGATAATTGACAAAGCCAAGAAGTGCCTGCACCCAAAATAAATATATGAGAAAGATATAAAGCCAATCAATTGGCGTAACCATCAGATAACAACGTATCAGGAGATAAAGTAGCTTGAAACAATTGAGAAAGTAGCAAGGCAATATCGGTGGGAAAGACGAGGAGTTAAATTGATAGGTAATTTAAATTTAATAAAAAAAAAAAGCAACAACAGCTCTTCTATTCATGCTCGGCTTAAGCTTATGTTGAGCATGTTTCTCCAACTTTATGAGACACCTTCTCCTTTCTATCTATGACAGTCATCATTAATGGGAAAGATTCTACATCTGAATATCAAACTAGGATACATGCGAGACAGAGATGTAACCTCGTAAAATTCCAAAAATGTTAACATGACATTGAAGTCAACATCATCAGTCAATACTTGTTGTCGTGCATGCGGTGCTAACCATGTGATTTTTTGACCATCAACCTCAGCCTGCATAGGACAGAGAGTAATCTTAAGCAACATGCATAATAGCAACAGTAACAAAAATAGTATTATAGCCAGCAGGAACTATAACAACAATTAACAACAAAATAAGGTTGTAATACCTGGTAATATGTACCCTTGACAGCTACAAAAACTTTCCGTAATTTATAAGTACGAGAAATGTAGACTTGCCATTCATGACACAACCTGACAAAGGACCAAGAACAGCAACACAAGGATGCAACTGATGAGATACTAGAAGTAAGGTAACCATAAATCTCTCTCTTTCTTCTTATTTTCTTTCATACTTAATAAAAAAAAGACCTACAACCTTCGACAATTATGGATGCGCTTCACTTCAATTTTCAGCCTATCAATGGCAGGCAACATTGCAAACAGGTGGACCATTGTAAGAGGGTCATCCAAATCTCTAAGTGCATCAACAAATGTCGGATACCTAAAATCCCAAACATAACTTAGATACTCAAGAATTTATACAATTACCAATGACAGGAAATAGCATAGTACACAGATTGTTTAACAAACCTATCCCGGATGACCATATCAAGCTTGTAAGAAGGAGCACGAGATAGAAGAAGCCTTGCTAACTCATCATTCTTTTTTGCCTTAGCTTTCTTTATCTTCTTTTGATATGCCCTTATTTCTCTGAACTTCTCGAGTAACGGATCATGAAGAATGTACATAACATCCTTCAAGTGGTAGTAAGTATGATGGTTCCCTTTCACCTTCTTCTTCGGCTCCCTTGGAAATACTCCTTTGTGAATGCATAATTTCCTGCAATATCAAAACCATTAAAAAAAATCAACAAAGCCAACACTCTTTCTATTTGAATTCAAAATAACATGCGCTATCAAAATAACTCCAAAACTTCTCCAATTCTGCAAGCATTCCATTTTCAAAATTAAAAATTAAATTAATTTATATTTCATTTGGTTAAAGCTTTTGCTACTTGCATACTGCTTCCTCAGTTTTTTTATAAAAAGAAATTTTCATATAAAATTAAAAATAAGCAAATAGCTCAAACATAGTAATTATTTCATACAGAAATAAAATCATACTAAAAAAAGTTAACACTTCAAAGATATTTCCAAAACGTGCTTCTTCCTTTTGCTTCAATGAGCAAAAAGCAAGTAGAAAACCTAACAACCAAACGTTACCTAATGAACTAACCTCAGCTTAACGAAGCTCAATAACTTCACATGCTTAGCAAATTAATCAATGAAGCTAAAATTTAAATAAATAATTAGAATTTATAAATAAAAAAAGCGAGGAACAAGAGATGAACCTGAAATCAGAGAGGCTAACTTGAAGGATTTTAATGGCTTGTGACCTCGTCACATATCTCGCAGCATTTCCTTCCTTTTTCTTTCCCTGTCAAATTTCACCAGAAATTGTGAAAAGAAAACGCACAAAAAAAAAAGGAAAATTTTGAAATTTTGAATTGCGAATTGCGATTTTCAAAATTAACGTTTGAGGAGAAAGAACTTGCCGGAGGTCGGTAGTGCTTTGGCTTCCCCATAGTTTTGTAAAGAGAAGTGGGAAACTAAGGCGAATAAAGGGGTAGCAGAAATTACTAGGGTTTAAGCAAATAGAGGATCGGGTTTAAAAATTGAAACGCTAATGGGCTAGGTGTCTGGGTCGGATTCTCTTCTCATGACGGTGGACCAAGCAGTTTTAGATAAAGGTGGGCTTTTGATATGTTGGAGGATATAACGGATCGAAGCCTATCAAACTGTATTAATTGGATTCGGTTTCTTAGATCAATATTTGAAAAATAATTTATTTTATTAATTCAATAGATTATTAGTATTCAAAATTGATAATGGAATGTACCAAATTAAATATTAATCAATTATATTAATTTATTTTAAATATAATTTTATATATACTATAAACATAACATAATTTATATATAAAATTATGTATAATATCATTTATTTTATATAACATAAATATAGGATAATTTTTTTATATAATTATACAAACAATATATTTTTTAATAGTTAAAACCGATCGATCTCACAGACTTAAGTTGATTTTGATTAATCATCTTCATTTGATTCAATTTAATCGATTATTTCAAATAAAATTGATTAATTCAATTTTTAAAATTTTAAAACCGAATCGACTGAAAACTCTAACAAATTAGATTTCACGCTGTTAATTAGTTGAATTAGTTAGGCTTAAGAGAAAAATTTTCCTTTTTTTTATTGATAAAAACATTTCTCTCTTTTTTCTTTTTCTTTTTTTTTAATTTCTATCTAATTCATTAAGAGAAGAAGCCCGAAACTGCAATGAGGAGTCCATTCATTCCTCAGAGATTGATAAATTAATCAGAGAAACAGCCAACATTGGCAAATCATTTCCTGAAAAATACTTGATTATATTGGAGCCACTTGGTCGTGGACATGAAACCAGCAGACAAGTTCAAGTTCAAATTCCCTAAGGGAATAACATGTACAGTTCAGGAAGGATGACAATTGAACCAGAGCCAAAAGCTCCTGCCAATTGGTGCTCTTGCCTATTTCTAGTTAGCACATGGAAATACATAAACAGAGACGAGTGCAACATCAAATCTGATATTCAATCTCAAGTCTTTGACTTGATCATTTCTGTAACCAAATGGTCAATTCCTATCTTTGTCTGCTATCACCCTTTCAATGACTGATAGAGATGAAAGAAGGAATTCAATAGCTTTGAATCCAATGATTTGAACTCATTTTTATTCATTCTACGCATTCTTATATAATACACTGGCAAGGTCAAAGTAACAACAATGGAAAGGCCATAATCTGATATGTTCAACAGCAGAACATGTTGTTTCCTCCAATCTACATAATTATTACCACATGCACTTATCAATTTTGATTGGAGCAACCTGTGTTTCTCTTGAATGTGAAACTGCAATAATCATCTGATAGAAAAAAGAAATCCGATATTAAAGAAAACTTGTGAACAAGTCCAGAATCTACTAACCTAAGAGGAGAGCATACTCATAGTTTGTCTATTGGATAATGTAAAGCTCTTGTTTAGCTATAAAGTAACGACCAATGAGATTTCCTGGTTCCATTATAAATTGTTCCTGAAATGTACCCATTCGCACGCTGGGAATATCAATAGAAAGATCTTTGAAATTAGGCGTGCCCTCTACTTGTAAGCCATCCCCACAAATAAGAAACCGATTGCCAGTGATGAAGGATCCTGAGACACGGATTGCAACTCCATCTTGACCATGAGCACGACATTTAGAGTTTTTCTACAACATGAACGAGTTTTTCAGGGGGCCAGTCACCTGCTAATGTACTTCGGATATTGGACATCATTGCTTGGACATCATTGGGACCAACAAATTGCTTCCCTGAGAAACTGAAAATAAAAAGGAAAAATAATATGATTCTTGAAGGGGACTAAAATGCATGAAATATCTAAGCATGGGGATCATTCTGCTGATTTACCATGTAAACAATGATAGCAAGACTATCGCTCGATAGTTCGATACCTGAAAGCTGAATCTTCATTGTATAGGGTCCTTGTTTGCTGCCAAGTTTCGTCCGGTCCATCAAATAGTAAGTAATAGTGTATTGTCAGCATCTGATCATGTAAATATCAGTGTTAGTATCCATCGAGCATAAATAAAAAGGATAGGTCTAGTTAAGATATTGTCAAATATTATATGTAAATTCAAAGTTTATAAAAAGTGCATTGTGTCTTTCTTTGTTAGATACACAGATGGAAACAAATAACAAATCGTTTGGTAGACCAGGTGACGCCAGTAGGCCTGTTTTGGGCGATATATCTCAAACTTCATGTCTACATCCAATGTGTCAATCCCAAAGGTGAAAAAGAACTATGACCTCTTGCTCAAACATGTGTGTAACTGTCTGAAAGTAATGTAAAATAAGAAGTCCATATACTCACATCAGCCAAATCTTTCAGCCTTTGAGTTGGATCGAAAACACTTCAAACAAATGCCAGTAAGTCTACTCTAGCATGCTCGTGCTTTTTAATAAAAGGGTGGGCAAGAAGCTGCAATCAGACATCATCAATTCAACGTATGTTAAGTTTAAACTGTCTTATATTCATCCTGTGGAGTATAATTTACCTGCTCAGCTGTTGGCCGAGCATCTGCATCCTTCTGCAGGCAAGCATCAATGAATGAACAGAACTCTGGTGAAAATTTGTGTTTTGATGGTGATGGTGATGGATCGTCCAAGATCTTCCACGAAAATTCAGCAATTTTAATGTCAGATTAAAAGAACTAAGAAATAATGTGTAAAGTTTCAAGCAACATTAGTATGGAAAGATGTGTTGAAGGCATTGGCACATTACCTGCAACATGAGATTAACCGGTCCTGCATTAGCTGTATACAGAAATTCTCCGGTGCCGCACTCAAAAAGAGCAAGACCAAGGCTCTATATATCAGCTGGATAAGAACAGCTCTCATTTCAAATTCGCTCAGGTGACATGTATGTAACAGTTCCAACAAAGGTAGCACACTACCACCAAGTAAGAAGCAGTTGTTAGACATTTATAATAGATTTTGATTAGATAACTGATATTCATCTTCAAGAGCAACTCCAGTGTAAATTATCTCTATAACAAAACAACATACACCAAAGGTAATGGCAGGAAACAAAAAAGCATGCACAAATTAATTAATATCTGATGACTAACCATTGCCATTGAATTATCTAGGCCAGCACTTATGCCGAAATCTGTAATTTTGGGCTCCCCCTTAAGATTTACAAGCAGATTTGCAGGCTTGATGTCTCTGTGAACCAAATGCCTAACTCCATGCAAGTAGCTTAGTCCCTTGAAAGGAAAAGGATACAAGTTGTAGCATTAACTTAAAAAGATGCAGCATATACAAGCCAATGGCAACCTTTTTCATTCAGAAAACCAGAACTGAAACAAAATGAGATATTGTTAGCACTTATAAGTAGGAGCTTCTGAAACATAGATGAAAGGACTGGTTCTGGTATACTTTTCCGTAATCTTAAGATATCTGCCAGTGACCCTCCATCCATGTATTCCAAAGCTATGCTTATTTGCCCCGAGTCTGGGATATAGAAAGCTCCATGGAATTCTACGAGACCCTCAGAACAAGGTGCCTCACAAAGTGTTCATATTTCGGTCAAAAGCTGTTGCCTTTTCTCCTAATATGCAAAAAAAAGAAATGGATGTAAGCGAAATCTACGAACCGGATAATGCTCTTCACTGTTGAAACAAATCTAGCCACCTTTTAAGCAACAAACAAGCTCATCTTTGCATCAACGGTACCTTCTCAAATATATTAATTTTCTTCAAGGCAAGAATTCTATGAGATGGAATGTGCATAGCTCTCTGAACAACACTGCTTGCACCACTACCTATTGCCCCAAATATTCTCATCTCATGAGAAGCACACCGATATGTCTTTTCGCCTTGATCTGTTTCATCCACAGCCGAAGATGAGCACTTTTGCAATCCAAGCTCATTAATGTTGTACACTCCATATGATCTACTCAATAAGTTGACAGTTCCATTATCGGACAGCTTTTCACACAACCAAAAAACATGTATGTGTAAGGGATAAAAACTAGCTTCAAACTCACATAAAACTCATCATAAGTTGAAGCTTACCATGCAAGAATCATAAGGATCAAGTGTTGATCCAGCCGAGAAGCCCTTCTCAGCATGGAACAAGGGCGCTAGCTTCTTCCTTAACTCTTCTAATCCCGCCATTACAACTCACCATGAAAGTAAAACAGACATTGATGCATTCCTTCTTGAAACAACTTGTCTTGACAAACAAAAAGTTCCATATCAAGAAAACAAGAATTGAACATATTTTACTGCCCAGAAATTCAAAGTAACCAACCATTATTCAGTAATCTAAACGAAAAAAGAGGAAAAAATTTCAATGAATAACATCAAATTTAAGTTCAAAACATTAAATTCAGCAAATGAATGATCACTGTAAATCTAAATCAGAAAAATATCTGCGTGAAAGGTTCCTGCTATAAAAAGTAAAATTAAAACACCAAATAGAATAATTACTACTAATCTTATTAAAGGAAAATTTAGAAAAAAAAAAAAAAAAAAGAACTTACAAGCTAGAAATCCGTACAGCTAAGCTTTGAGATTAACTGCCAATGGTAGACAATTCCGACACACAATCGAGTTCAGTTTATTGCAGTTATGTTCTCTGCAGTTCTTGTTTTTGACTAATCACAGAGAGCCACGTAATAATTTATTTTTATTGCATTTTCTTAAAAAAATTCAATGCCTAAACTCATGTAGAAAATCGGCCCACGATTAAATCATACATTTAAAGCCCGTCTGAGCCCACTGTTTGCGAGGCTCAATAAGTCTATAAATTCAAATTTTTGGGTCAGCCCAACATAGTTAATTTTTGATCCAAGCCCAATGTTAATTGGTTGTTGAGTTACTTGCCCTCGAAGCCAAACCATATTGTTAACTCTTCTTTTAATCAGTCAACCAAGAGATCGTTGGTCTAGCCTAATGTTTTGTTAGCCCTATGCATTAATTGATATAAAAGGCTTCTATTTGCACAATTATTTTTCTTTTCACATTTTTTTAAAATAATCTTCAAGTGAATTTTTTTTTTTTA